AAGAGGGCAAAATTTTCTGTTCCTATCTGCATAAATGGAGGAGTTATAACAAAAAATCTTATATCTGAAGAATCAGTTGTATGGGAGCTATATGTTATAGTGGTCCGATTCTCCCCGTTCAGACAAATAATTTATACATTATAAAAATACACTCACTTACCAAGTTTCAGTCGTATATCTCGAAAGCTGCGTACAAGTAGACGGGCACACGGACATGGCTAAAACGGCTAGAATAACTATATGGGTACCAAATTCAAGAGAAAATTCTTTAGAATTAAAAAAAAAACATTTTTTTGTACATAAGAGCGAAAAGTTATTGAAAATGTCTTTTTACAATTCTATCCTTGAATATCCTTGAAGATTTGCATTATGCTTTGTAGTTGGGATTCTCTTTACCCATAAACATTTGTCTTTTCCTGCGGAGTGGAGAGAATTCGCAACTGTCTCTCAACTCACAGTTTTTCGAAAGATAAATAGCTTTCGTAAGACAGTTGTCAATTCAGGCAACTATCTTGAAAGATCTTTACTGTCATCCGAAAGACTAATTGAAAGATCTCCTAACGAGAAGGTCGTAGCGTTACGCTGTTCGCCTTTTATCAATAAGTTTTTTTTTAAATAAATTTTATGAAAAAATATTTATATTTTTCTTTTAAGAAATTTAAAAATAATAAGAAAACTAAATTAATTAATTATTTTGCAAAAATAAAAAAAAAATTAATTGCAAAATAAAAAATGAAATAAAATATGTTGTTTCAAAAGATAATTAAATTAAAAAATTATAGTAAAAAAAATAAAAGGGTTCCGGGATTTTGAATCCGGATCTCTCGAAAAGCAAACTAAAGCTTTGCCATTACGACTGTTGTAGCTACGCGAGTTCAATGATACACAAGTTCTTTCTCTCAAAATAGCTTTACACCACTAGTGGTAAATGACAGAGCTTTTTTTCTAAGACTTTTGTACTAGAATAACAAAAGTGCATCGAGCAATCTTGCTATCTATCTTTCATTCGCCTAACGCAAGACTTTTTACTAACTTACCCAGAGTTGCCCTGTTAAGCGCATCCGCGTTATAGCAGCCTCTGCAGAGGTCATTGGGAGAGACGTTCTGCTTGTGTGTCCATGAAGATATATTCTGAGATCAGCAGATGAAAGTGAAACAGAAGTACCGTCTCTGTATGCCACTGTGTCCCGGTACCTACAACCGGCTTGCTTTTCTCGTAATACATCCATGAAAATAATGAGGAACGCCCATCAAGTCTTATATTTCACTTATGTTAGTTCAATAAAAACCCCGCCTATTTAAGAAAAGTTACATAAAAGAGGCTTGTATCTATTTATTATAATCTCGGCATTGATTGCTGTTGCATTACTTCTAGTTTTCCCTATTTATTTTTTTATAGTCCTAAGCTACTTACATACATGAGCC